ATATATATTATTTATTTCAAAATATTACAAACAAACAAATAAATAAAATATACTGAGAAAGAAAAAGGAGAAACTGAACTTTTCTCTCTTTTCATTCTGGCTCTCATCACAATAATTGGTTTACACTGTCCAATGATTGCAGGTCTGTTTCTGACTCTGACCTCCGCCAATGTCTTGTCTTTATTTCCAGATGATGACAGATGGGAGAACGCAACAGAACGACAGGGGTATGAAAATGCAACAGAGGGAAAGGAAACAGACGTCAGTCGGATTGAGCGAAGCCTTTATAACGAGGAGAAGCCCTATAACTGCTTGGCCTGTGGAAAAAGCTTCCACCACCGTACACTCCTCACGAGACATCAACAGATACACATGGGGAAGAAGCCACATAAATGCTCCGAGTGTGGAAAGAGCTTTAGTCAGAAGTCACATCTCACTTGTCACCAGAGAATTCACACGGGGGAAAAGCCATATTCATGCATGGAGTGTGGGAAGAAGTTCCATCAGAAGGTGCAACTTGCTTCCCATCAAGCAATTCACATGGAGAAGGAATCGTATCCATGTTTGGAATGCGGGAAATGCTTCAGTCAGCAGATATACCTCACTTCTCATCAAAGGATTCATACAGGGGAGAAGCCGCATAAATGTATGCAGTGTGGGAAAAGCTTCAGTGCCAGGAGCAACCTGAGCACCCATCGAAAAATTCACACAGGCGAGAAACCCTATAAATGCCTTGAGTGCGAGAAAGGTTTTGTGAAGAAATCAGACCTTACTGTCCATCAAAGAGTTCACACTGGAGAAAAGCCGTATCAGTGCTCCGATTGCGGGAAGAGCTTCAGTGAAAAGCAAAATTTCAATAAACATCAAAGAGTTCACACAGGGGAGAAGCCGTACGAATGCTTGGCATGCAGGAAGAGGTTCAGGCAGAAGACACACCTCAAAGAGCATCAGATGATTCACACCAGGGGGGAAAACCACACACGTGCTTAGAATGTGGGAAGCACTTCCGTCTGAAGTCAAATCTGGTTTCTCATCAGAGAAGCCACATGGGAGAGAAGCCGTGTGGAAAGAGCTTCAACCAGAAGACAAATCTCAGTATGCACCAGAGGGTTCACACAGTGGAGAAGCCCTATCACTGCTTGCACTGTGGTGTGAACTTTGCTCGCAACGCCGACCTGACCACCCATCAAAGGATTCACACGAGGGGGAAACCTTGCATGTGCTTGGAATGTGGAAAGAGCTTCACCCATATGAGATCACTGCACTGTCTTAAAAGGACGCGCACTGGGGGGAGAAACTGTATCAGTGCCCTGAATGTGAGAGGGATTTTGCTCAAAAGAGGTCTTTGTGTTCCCACCAAAGGACTCATGTTGAGGAGAAACCGTATAAAATAGTGATTCTCAATGAGTCCCGGGGCATCACCACCTAAGAGAGGGGAGAGAGAGGCACGCTTGGAAAAATAATTCTCATTTAGGCCAAAATCAAAGTCAAGGGTCAAATAACTGAAGATATTCAAATTGAAGAAGGTATAAGACAGGGTTTCCCCCTTTCTCTGTTACTATTTATTCTAACTTTACAGATTTTGAATAGACAAATAAGAGGGAATATTGGAATTAGAATCAGGAGAAGAATTTAACCTTCAAGCATATGCTGATGACTTAGTACTAATATTAGAAGAATTATTGGGAACTATAGAAGAATGTCGCAGGTCTTGAAATAAACTACCAAAAATGATTTTTTTAAACTAAAAACACGACGAAAGAGGAATTGAAAAATTGATAATGAAAACTAGTTTGGAGGCGGTACAAAAGGTGAAATATCTAGGAGTTATCATCACAAAAACACCACCAAGTAATTTGGTGAAAGAAAATTATCTTACAATTCAGAAAGAAATACAGAGAGACCTGGAGAATAAGCTACAAATCTCAATGATGGGATGAATCTCAATAATAAAGATGATGATTTTACCAAAATTGTTGGGGTTTTTTCATAATTTATCAATCCTATTTATAAATATTTAAGGGCTTGGACAGCTAAAGATGATGATTTTACCAAAATTGTTGGGTTTTTTTTCATAATTTATCAATCCTATTAAATTATAAATATTTAAGGACCTGATCTCGAAATTTGTATGGAAGGCCAAAAAACCACGAATAACACTTTGATCATTGCAAGATTTGAAAGAGATAGGTGGTTTAGGATTGCCAAATAGACACATTTCTCAGAACATATTGTGAGGCAAACATTATGTCTAGTATGGCAAAAATTTCAAATGCAAACTTGTAAGAAAATCCCAACATGGGTGGCACCAATAGAGGCGTTTACACTGGAAGTACTGAATCAGATGGGAGTTTTACTCGCATATAAAGATTTGTTAACTAAAGATCAAATCTGAAAGATAAATAAGATCTAGAGAAATTGGGTCTGGCAACAGATTGGTAGTCAATGCTGAAACTAGAATAAAGATGTAAAAAGGACAAAAATATGGGCTTTTTTGAGGGGAAAGTTCAGGTGGATGAATTATGGATTTACATGAAAGAAAACAATCAAAAAGTGTATACATATCTATTAGAGTATGATCTAGAGCAGTGGTCTCCAACCTTGGGCCTCCAGATGTTCTTGGACTTCAACTCCCAGAAATCCTGGCCAGCAGAGGTGGTGGTGAAGGCTTCTGGGAGTTGTAGTCCAAGAACATCTGGAGGCGCAAGGTTGGGGACCACTGATCTAGAGGATGAGAGGGTGAAGGAGGTGGTGGTCAAATGGGCACAAAACTTTGGCTATAATATTGATATTGATGAATGGACAAAAATGTGGAAAGATGATTAAACCAGTTAACCTTAGAGAAAACCCTTAAAATGTTTCCTAGATGGCATTTTACTGTGGTAAGATTGGCAAAAATGTCAGAAGGGATCAGTAATGTTTGTTGGAAATGTAAAATATATATCCAGAGACTTATTATCATGTATGGTGCTCAGTAATGTTTGTTGGAAATGTAAAATATCTATCCAGAGACTTATTATCATGTATGGTGGTCATGCGAAAAAGCAAAAGAAATTGTTCAGCAGAAATTAAGTTTTAAACCTGAAATGTTTCTATCGAGTACAATGCCAGAGATCATTGATTAAAAAATTAAAATATAGTCTATTGTATATATACATAGCAGCCAGGTTACTCTGGACCCAAAAAAATGAAGCATGGAGAAATACCAACGATGGAGGAGCTACTAAAGAAGCTACTGGATATTGCAGAACTAGATATGCTTTCAGAGGCACTACAGGATCGACCAAGACACTTTATAAAGGAAAGCTGGAAGCTGATGTTAACAACCTGGAACATGTCCAGAGGAGGTGACTAAAATGGTCAAAGGTCTGGAAGCCATGTCCTATGAGGAGCAGCTTAGGGAGTTGGGAATGTTTAGCCTTACAAAAAGAAGGTTCAAAGGGGACATGATAGCCATGTTTAAATATTTGAAAGGATGTCATGTTGAAGGATGTCAGGTTTGTTTTCCAGGGCTTCAGAGACTAGGACATGGAGCAGTGGTTTCAAACTACAGGAAAAGAGATTCCATCTGAACATTAGGAAGAACTTCCTGACAGTCAGAGCTGTCCAGCCGTGGCATAGGTTGCTTTGGAGTGTGGTGGAGTCTCCTTTGGAGGTTTTTAAGCAGAGGCTGGATGGCCATCTGTTGGGAGTACTTTGATGGATGTTTCCGCATGGCGGAGGGTTGGACCGGATGGCCTCGGTGGTCTCTTCCAACTCAATGACTCTATGATATGTAATTGGGCCCAGGAAAAGACAGGAATTTAGGGGAAGAAATAGTTTGTGGTGAACCAGTGCTCGCTAGAATCCTTTGATGATATTTAGATGACCAGATGATGATAAAATCTATCATCTACAGGTGTAGTATGGATGTTTAATTTTGATGTTTTGTCTGTTATTGGTGTTATTCTTGTTAGGTTTTAGTCTTCTGTTCTGTATGTTTATATGTATGAATGGATTTTAAAAAGTTTTTTTAAAAAATAATAATTCTCATTTGCTGTCAAGTCAATTATGACTTCTGGTGGCCCTTTCCAGAGTTTTCCAGGTAGAGAATATTCAGAAGTGGGTTTGCAGTCCCTTTTTCTGGGGGCGCTGCGGACTAAACCGCAGAAGCCTGTGCTGCAGGGTCAGAAGACCAAGCAGTCGTAAGATCGAATCCACGCGACAGAGTGACTGCCCGTCGCTTGTCCCAGCTCCCGCCAACCTAGTGGTTCGAAAGCATACAAATGCGAGTAGATCAGTAGGGACTACCTCGGTGGAAAGGTAACAACGTTCCGTGTCTAAGTCGCACTGGCCATGTGACCACGGAAAATTGTCTTCGGACAAACACTGGCTCTATGGCTTGGAAACGGGGATGAGCACCGCCCCCTAGAGTCCAACACAACTGGACAAAAATTGTCAAGGGGAAACTTTACCTTACCTTTCTGGGGGCATCCTGGGACTGTGCAGTTTGCCCAAGGCCACCCAGGCTGGCTCTTCTCCCTGCAGGCCAGATACCTAGACCACCGAGCCAGCATTACTTGGGAAAAAAAGTAATCATCTTTTATTGCATTGAACAAAACCATTGCTGGCATATAGCTTATTGTATCGTTCTCTGATGTATGGCAGAACACTTGCTTTCCTTCTTGTTTTGTCTCGGAATTAGGATATTAAAAACGGTTGATTTCAGTCATGCTGTTCCAGATTTCAAATAAAATGACTAGAGTAATCTGGTTTGAAAGGGGAGTACAATACCATGTTTTTATGTTTATCCTAAAAGGGTGTAGCTTGAAAATGTGTGAGAAACATTGGTTGATGGCTGCTCAGGGGCATTTATTAATCTATTCCCTCTCGGGATCTCTGCCCAAGACTTCCCTTTTCTTGTCAGTGGTCCAACAACTGCCCACCAGGTCTTCAAGATAAGCTAGAAAGGCTTTTGTTATGTGATCTCAAGCCACCTCTTCCTTACTGGCAACCCTATGAATTACTGACCTCCAAAATGTCCTGTCCTCAACACCTCTGTTTGGCTTCCTTTCGGGAGTCCTTGAGTCCTATTTCCCTGTAATATTTCTGAAACAAATGTGTTTTAATGGCTAGTCATTTGTTTTATCTACTTGCTCTCTGCCGTTCATGCAGCTCTACTTTAATCTTTGCTAATCCTCAATGCAGTTATTGTATATATTTAGAGTTTAGTGTGTGTCCATTAAAAGTCTCTCATGTAGCTCTGCGTGAGCATGATTTAGCCAGCCCAATCCTTGTCGACACTAGGCTGTGTCCAAGTTCAGATATCCCTTATAGGGGTGTATTATGAGAACATGTGTGATTTTCTATACAGTACATATTTTGAATGAATACTGGTTAGTCCTACATTGTTGTTGTTTAGTTGTTTAGTCGTGTCCGACTCTTTGTGACCCCATGGACCAGAGCACGCCAGGCCCTCCTGTCTTCCACTGCCTCCCGGATTTGGGTCTAATTCATTTTGGTTTCTTCGATGACACTGTCCAGCCATCTCGTCCTCTGTCGTCCCCTTCTCCTCTTGCCTTCACACTTTCCCAACATCAGGGGCTTTTCCATGGAGTCTTCTCATGATACGGCCAAAGTATTGGAGCCTTAGCTTCAGGATTTGTCCTTCCATTGAGCACTCAGGGTTGATTTCCTTCAGAATTGATCGGTTTGTTCTCCTTGCGGTCCAGGGGACTCTCAAGAGCCTCCTCCAGCACCACAATTCCAAAGCATCAATTATTCCGTGGTCAGCCGCCTTTATGGTCCAGCTCTCACTTCCATACATCACTGCAGGAAAAACCATAGCTTTGACTATGTGTACTTTTGTTGGGGAGGTGATATGTATGAGTTTTAATACAAAGTTAGATTTTTTTCAGCATGTGTACAAAATGTTTTGCTCCAGGGTAAAGAAGCTGTAAAGTTTTTTTTTTTTCCCCGGAGGGCGGAACTAGACAGGTCCGTGGAAAAAACTTGGGAGAATCTTAAGTGTCA